CCTTTTTAAAGCCTATTACATAATTTGTGCAAATCACCTAGTATTCTCGTCACTGGCCTCATAGTAAATCCAAAACAGACTATAAAGAGGGCAAAGAGTTGTCTTTGAAGCATAGTGCAAATTATTGCCCTCTTTCTTGAACACACCTAAAATGTGCTATTTCCACATCACTAGATATTATGTGGTTTTTAATGCGCCAAGCAGTACTTTGGGTGCTTGAGAATGCTCCTTACCTTCTTTGGTCATAGTTCATATCCCAATTTTGATTGTTCTTTGAATAACAATTACTACTACTAACTCGGACTTAGACGATATTCAGTCGCACCTGATCATTTACATTTAGTTTGGACAAAATGCTGGATTTGTTAATAGCCCTATTGATAAATATGTCTGCATTTAACTCTTTTCTCTCCGGATTCGACGAAGCCTGATGACGGATCTGTAAATTCACAAAATCTAAGCAACACCCCTTCCCTACCAGTTAACATCTTTATATGTCTTAACGCATGGTACCTTTTTAACCCATTAATGACACACTGAAAAAATCAACTCGTTTAAATCCAAATCAAAACAATTTTTGATTTCTCATAGGATTTTTCCGAGTTTGCTAGACATTTTACGTTTTCTTTTGCCTATAGACCTTGGGGGTGCATTAAAACGAATTAATGATTCACGGGGCAATTAATTATTCTAGCACCCCGTTTGGAAAAAATGACCGTCTTTTCACATTTATTTTAGTCTTCATCTAAAGAACGCTGTTTAACATGATAAATAGGTCTGTCAGGCACGCAGGAAAGCCTAAATTTTGGTCCAATCTAGGGTAGGTAAATCTCGATAATAAATTTAATCTTACTAAATCAGTTTCAAGGGGAATTTCAGTGGTATCCGATGTCTGTCTAAAAATCCAGTTGGTTTTTACCAAAAAATTTATTACCAGTTTTTAGGGAGAGGAAAACAGGCTACTCTACTCTCTCGGTTTATGCATCCTGTGTTTAAATGTCATCCTCAAAACCTAGGAAATACGGCTTTTTGTACAATTAAGGTAAAGAACTCTTTGAGCTGGTTTTTAATTGTTTACCAGGATAGTCAGTGATAGTACCAAGCTAGCGCTAGCCAATTTTACGTCCAAATCCCCGGATCCGACTTCACACCTGCTAAAAGAAATCAGCAAAAATGTCACAAATTAATACCAAAAGCTTATAATTATTTCAATTTAGGCTTTAGTTAAAAAAACTTGGCTCATTATTATTACAATTTTGATGCTTCAGTTTAATCTAATCTCTTTTTAAGGAAACAGTACGATTCATCTGGAAGGAATTGTGACAAAGTTCCCTACCACCTTTGAAGCCATTGGTATGAACAATCGTCAGGCCGTGTTATTTGTTTTTAACAAGATGACATCAATTGTCCCACTCAATTTTCTTCTTTCGCTAATTCTTCTGCTACTCTTTATGCGTTGATTGCCTATCCTTTTTGATTCTAAGCCGAGGCTAATCGCAATTTACCTAGAAAGCCACCACCAAATAGTGCATAATTACGTATGATCTGTATTAATAATGGCTATGATAATACATAAAATTTTCCGACATTTAAAGTGCTTTTTTAAATTTCTCCTTTAAAATAAGATTTGGATTCTATTCTTCTTATTATGCATTTGACTTCCCCCAATTGCTGTTGTAGATATCTAGTTTCCGTTGGATAAATATTTAACCACTACTAACAAAAATATATCTTACTTGTTTTTAGGCATAATGAAATCAATTTAGATTTTCTCACTAAATTCAAAGCTTAAATCAAGTCGAATCAAGCAAATTTGATTCCAAAGCAATTGGTCCTCATATAAACTGTAGCTCTTAGTATCATCTTGAAGTCGCAGTGAGGCAAACTAAAGTGGGAAATGACCGAAGTTGTGACCAAAAAGCACGTCTTAAAAAAGGAGTTAAAATAGAGCGCGTTTTAAGACACATATTCCATCTTTCTTAAGCTTCATGCCCTCCGCTATTCGGAGTCGCCCTTGAGACTCGACTGTCCAGGGTTTTTCAAGGCTAAGGCAGGGTCGATGATGCGGTGGATGTAGCTTATTCCATTAAAATGAATGCTCGATGGACAACTAATTGAAATGCTATAGTCTGCGTACTCTGTATAACTAAAGCATTAAGTAGAGATTTATTTATAAAATAGTTTAAATTTTAATATTCTGCAATCCTATAGCGGTGGGAACGTTTAACTATTCATACCATGCAGATGGGGTTATCAATCCCTACTGCTGTATATGGATATCTGTTAAACAGCTTTCTTTTTTAATTTTTAAATTGGGGAATCCTTCATGGTTACATTAACGGCAGAACCAGAAATCTGAGTGGCTGACACAAATTGAAGCAATGCCACAGTCTCTCCGTTGGAGAAAATCACGAAGGCAGAGGCACTCCTTCAGTGTCCTTTAGGTATAATCAGCAGCTGTCACCAATTTAGCACCTCGAGTCATTTTTAAGGACGTAATAAGGCCATGACTTCAAAGGAAAGTTTACTTTTAACAAACAGGAAAGCTACGTGGCTTTGGGAGTGACAGAGGTGCTAT